CTATATATCCCCTATATATCCCCTATATATCCCTATATAACCCCTATATATCCCCTATATATCCCCTATATATCCCTATATAACCCCTATATATCCCCTATATATCCCCTATATATCCCTATATAACCCCTATATATCCCCCATATATCCCCTATATATCCCTATATAACCCCTATATATCCCCCTTTAAACCCCTTTAAAAGGGTACTTTTGGTGGAACAGCCACAGCTGCGCCTCCTTCCAAGTCGACTTTGGCTTGACGGGCGCATGCGGGATGACATTCTCCTGCCATATGGGGGTTTCCCAAAATTAGGGGTACCCTTTTAAAGGGTTTAAAGGGGGATATATAGGGGTTATATAGGGATGTATAGGGTTTAGGGTTAAGGGGTTTCCCAAAATTAGGGGGTACCTTTTTGGGGTTCCCCATAATAAGGACTATAGTATATTAGGGTCTATATTGGGTTACCCCTAATTAGGGAAACTACCATATCTTTTGTGCTCGAAGACTTGGGTATGCGTAGTGATGCTTACTTGGAAATGAGGAAATGGGTTCTAGGAACAATTACATTAAGTCTTATGGGGTAACCCTACAGCCTAAACCCGAAAGTATGGCCACTCCCCCATTCCATTGCGAGCGTCTCCGACTCAGGGACATTCAAAAAACCTCAAGAACACACCCGGCACATGGCCACCCCTCGATAGCAGACGACCAGTGACTAGTGCATACAGAGGCTACTTGGAGGGGGGTCACGGGGACTGAGGAACTAGTTTAATCGTGGGGTAACTGGGGTTACTACATGGCTTGTACGGCGTATGGCGTCTTGGTATACTTACAACCTCCCGGTGACCCTCTAAGTAATTCCTCCCGACAGAAAGATAGGCAAAGAAGCTGTGGTGAGTGAAACTAGCCATGACATGCTCCGCAGCACAAAGCTTCAAGCATCGTGACCATGAAAAGAAATGAACGCTTAAAATGACGTAGCAATGCTTGCCTGATGGGTCTTGGGCTCTAGATCTCGAAAGCACAGAGCAGAAGCACCATGACCACCACCACCACCACCACCACCACCACCACCACCACCACCACCACCACCGCTGCCACCAACTCCTCCTCCTCCTCCGCCTCATACACATACTCTTATCCTGGAACAATGCCGACTCAAGCCGTTGCAACCACCACTACACCCATCACTACTGGCACCTGTACCCTGCATGCACCATCAACCCCGCAAGCCGTACTTCACCTCCTACAACTGTTAACTTCGGATTGGTAAAGGGGGTCGTGGTAGAGCTACATCAGGCCTGAACGGAATAATGAAAAATGGGTACGTACTAGAGCTAAATCCGACCTGAACGGATATAACAGTGCAGGAACGCAATAGTGCCAAGCTTGTGTCTGAAAATGCGCAACCAGAAAAAAACAACAAGAAAAGACAGAGAGAAGAAAGCCAGAGAAGCCAGCCGGTCTAAGCAAACGTACCCCTAGTTACGCAAGTAGTAGCTGGTAGCAAAAAAATATGCTTAGAGTCTAATTTCCCCAGGCTCAGGGCGCAGCCTCTGGGCCGAACCCGGCCCCCAAACGGTTTAATTAGGCTTTAGAGTCCAGGGTTTAGGGTCCAGGCTTTAATTAGGGCATAGGGTTTAGGGTTTAAGGGTCATTTAAGGTTTGTGTTTACGGTTTCAGGTTTGGGGAGCGCGGTTCAAAGTTTAGGGCTCGATTTTCAGTGTATAAATCTAAGTAAAGGCTCAGCGTTCAGTCTCTGGGCCGGGACCCCCAAACAAATGCTCCGACATTTGATTGGCCCCCGTGGACGGTTCAGAATCGTATTTGTCAAGGCGGGGGGGTGCTTACTAATCAGAACCTCCCCATTACCAGTCCTGAATAATATCACTACTACTTCTCTGAAGAGAGATCCTGAAATAAATCCCGCATATTTCCTGGAGGGCCCTTGAGCCATGATGACTCTCAAAAACAAGCCCAACTTTGGCCCCGTCCAATCTTAAGCCGAAGCTGCTCAAATTTCTGTTGCCCATCACGGTAGCCAAGTAGTATCAGCGTATGTAAACATTCAACTGCCTATGCACATGCTTCATGATGCCTGACCGACAAGACCCAGAGAAGCAGAGCCTTCGCATTGAAGTCACGCGTTCGGGCAGGACCACCTGAAGAAACTGGTCGTTTCACTGAATTACCTTTGTTAGGCAACATTTGTTGAATCATATATTTCAGTTCCTTGGCAGCCTGTTTGCAAAGTGGAGAGAACCTCTCGCAGTCTTCCAACCCTTCCCACACTGCTCGACGCATGAGGGTTTAGGGCTTAGAACCACGAATGCGGCTTGCTCACAGCCTCCTGCTGCTTTGCTGTCTGCCAGAGCTCTGACAAAATCGCGAGCGGCCTCAACATGCACGGATGAAGATGGATCAGCGGCAGAGGTATTACTACTTCTATTCCCGTTTTACTGTTACTATTCCTTTTCCTCTTACTGTTACTATTGCTGTCATCATTTTGGGCCCCATTTTGGAAGCAAGCCGTCCTCATGTTGCGCAGCCGCAGCACACAGCTGCCGACAGCGAAGCTCCAACGCCTGAAACTCGCGCAGAAGCAAAAAACAAGCTGTGCTTTTTAGGGGTTTAGGGTTTATGAAATCTCACAGGGGAAACTCTAGGAGGCCCCAGAACAAACAAATGTAATCCAATTCTTTTTATTGGGACTTCCTGGAAATCCCCCGGGCGGACCAACTTACCTTTGGTTAGCTAGGAATGAAGGAATGGATCCTTGTAGCAGTCCCTATATAACCCATTACAGTAGTTTCCAGTGTCTTTTCCATTTCTTCTTTCCCAGCTAATCAAAGGTAAGTAAAAGGGCCTTAAACCCTGAACCCTAAACCATGAACCCTAAACCCTAAGCCCTAAACCCTAAACCCTAAACCCTAAGCCTTAAACCCTAAGCCCCTAAACCCTGAACCCTAGCAGAGCAAGCCGGCCTGCAGGGCCTCGCCATCTCGGATTGCCGCCATGCAGTCCCCAGCCAGGCATCACGGGGTTGAGGGTTTTCTTGGGGGGGTCAAAAGGACTTAGAATATGGCTTATAGGTATTATGTGGCTTATATGGGTTATAGGTACATTATATACCTATAGGCTCTATAAGCGATATAATACCTATAAGCCACAGAATACCCTCAGTTCTGGATTTACATGCGAGATGCTTTGTCTGCTGCTTTCTGTCTTGACAGCATATTTGACGTGTTCATCAGGGAACTACTCACAGACACCCACGCGCACTATCAGACACAAGCCGCTTGCCAAACATGATGGCTTTTGTGTGCAAGGTTCCTCGTGACGCAAATCCATGTATGGGAGTACTCTTGCAAAGTTTTTGAAACTACCATGTAGCCACGCCGGCTTGAGGTGAAGCACAGACAGACTGGAGCTGCGCAAAGTGAGAAAGCTTGGCTACCCTCTCCCAGAGTCAAGGCAAATAACCCTCAGCAGAGTCAAGGCAGATAATGTGGACCTCCTTACAAGAAATTACATGCGAACAATCTGCAGAGGGATCCATCCCTCATTTCCGCTTGAGCACAATAATGATCTTCTGCCTGTGCAGTTGCTTCAGCCCCTGTTTTGTTCCCTCCTTCAGACATCTAATCCTACGAACTCCTACTCCATACCTCATCACCTTAGGTGACGATCTATGTAAGCTTCTAGCTAGGGCAGAAACGGAAGTGGCGCAGTGGTGACCTGGATGGTAGGTAGCGATTTAGCTATTCAATTGCTTAGTCTGGGCTTTGGGTCACAATGCGCTCACTCCGAGAATGTGCTGCGTTGGCAAGTCAAAAGAACTTCGCTGCTGAACTGCAGCCAGCGCAACAAGCAAAAACGACTCGCACTTGCAGAGATTCCGGATGCCTCTTCTCCAGGACTCCTTAACTGTGGGCTCCAGCACGAGAATAGCTACGTGACCGAGCTACCCGACTGTGCCCCCTGCCGTGAACACACTCCTATGCGGGCAGATGGCAAGATGTCTGCCAGATGGCAAATGTCTGCAAATGCGGAGAGTCACTTCATCTGCTGTTCACTTTGCGAGCAGCCAGCACGCTCCTGCATGGACTGGGACTAAAACTGGCCGCCACGGACGTCATAACACCTAGCTGAAACAAGTAGGACTTTGCAAGCGATCAACCCAAATGTAACTCTGCACCATACATGGGGGAAGCACGACATGAGCTCTCGTCTAAACTCCTAGTATCCCCCTCAATAACCCCTTATCATCATCCCCTATATAATCCCCTATGTAACCCCCTGTAAGGAGTTTAGACGAGAACTCATATGGACAGGGCGCGCAAGACTATGCTCAACCGTGAAACAATGAGAGATGCAGGCATTCAATCATACTCCTACATACAATGGGTCAATGGGTTTAGGGGTTTGGGGGTTTATGGTTCGGGGAATCCTGATAAGTGCCGGGGGACAACTAAGTAAAGACTTCAAGAAATCATTCGGGACCGCCTATTCGATTTGCGGGGTGCCAACTAAGTAAAGCTTATTCTGCCGAAAAAATCTGGGAGTGTTTGTCATCAGGCCAAAATGCCCTGGTTTCGAAAACCAGGCGTTTACATGACAAGGCCAACATTACCTGTGGAATCTGGATCAAATGCCAGCAACAACTACATATTCAGTTCTTGTTAAACTGTTTACTCGAAAAGGCTAGGCAAGCAAATTCCGAAACTGGGCCGTCGGGTAGTCCAGCAGAACCCCCTGAGCCTCAATAATGTGGAAGATTTGAAGGGGCTCAATTATTTGAAGGTTTTTTGATTGGGCTAACAGTCAGGCCATTCTATGTTGCTTTTAATGTTTCTAATTGTGTCTAGTCCTATTTCTAATTCAGTTTCGTCGAATTTTAATTGTTGCTGGCTAGATTTTGAGTGGTTTAACCAGATGTTTGTCCATTGATTTTGGATTCTAACTGAATCTCAGTTGATTTTGAATGGATGTTCAATGATTTGCATTAAAGTGTAGTTGATTTTCATAGCTTCCCCTATGGATTTTACTAGGGGCCATGGGATCCTCCAGAACCCCTCCAGTTCGTTTTGAGGACTTCTTATTATAGAGGCCCGGGTTTAGGGCTTAGGGTTTAGAGTTCTTTTTGGGGGGGAGGGCACAATAATCAGGATCCCACATCAAACCTGCAGCCCGGTATCCTGGCTGGGATTTCTACACCAGCTGAGCTTCGGGCCCTGTGAAGAATCCTCCATTGGGCTGGCGGTCTTGATCCATCACACGGCTGAGGCAGGGGTTGGAGTATCTCCAGAAGGCCCGCGAAGAAGAAAGACCTGGGCCAACAGCTTTGGAAGGGATTACAATAGTACCCCCCCAAGGTACACCCCCAGATTTAGAACCCTATTAGGCCTTATTAAGCCCTTTGTAATCCTTTTCAGCTCCTTAAACCATGGGGGGGGGGTTCCTTTTGGGAGGGCACTACTGTAATCCCTTACTTTGGAAGGGGTCATACAGGGATTAAGGTGTTTTTTTTTTGAGCGCCTCTTTTGCTCTCTGCAGAACAAAGGGTCCCTTAGGCCCAGGCGAAACTTTGACCCCTCAGGCACCTACTGTGTCGCCAGCTTCTAAGACCAGCTTCGAGTACGTGGTCTCCGTAAAGTCGCTGGATTTGCTCAGCACTAAATCCGCCAGAGGACCACGCAGCAAACACACTACCGCCTTCCTCGTTGAGCATGAATGCAGTTAGCTCACCCTCAGCGATATGACCCTGCTTTGGCACAACCCCTACCCCTACTCCTTCACTCAGCTTCTCAGGCGTCACCGGGTTTATTCTCTCCGTCGGGGTCTGGCTGCCACTGCCCTTTGCTCCAGTTCCACCCTGCTCCACCCCAGTCTCCAAAGCTTCCGCAGCCACAAGCGTCCATGACATGCCTAGCATCACCGGGGTGCCAGGTCGCACATCCAGGTCCAACCTTGCCTTCTGCGTCGCATCACCCTGCACCTGGATGTGGAGGATCATTTTTTGTCGCTTCAGCTCCCTTTCTCTCGTTGGACTGCCAGGGTGCATTGAGCTCCACAGCGCCCAGTCATCCCATTCCTGAGCATATTGTGCTTGCAAAGCCTCATACTGCGCCACATCCTCCTGCTCTTGCATCTCCTGCTCCCTCTGGTAGTCGAGGATGTCTTTGGCCAGCTTAGCCTTCTCCCACACTTCCCTTGCCCTTTCATCTTCAAGCTGCCGCGTGATGTCCAAACTCATCCTGAACCATTTGGTCGATGGCACTCGCCTGGTTAGGGACATTTGTCGCTGTCCCACACGTCTCCAGCGATTCCTCCACTGTCTCCGGCACCGGGTTCAGCACCATCCGTTCCTTGACCTGGCGTAGGTGTCGTTCCTCTGCCATGATGGGTGCCAGGAGCTTTTTCCACCACTTTTCACACCAAGCTCGGTCCTCTCACGTCTCAGGCACCTCACTTTCCACTGCAGAGTTCTCATCATCAAACGCGACCACTGCTGCCTCCAACGCCATCGCTCTCGCCCCCATAGCCAACCTTCCCGATGCACAGCCATATCGCTTGGCAAGCAGGCCTCTGATCAGCGAGGACCGCACCCTCGCCCTGTTTTCGTCCATTGCCGAGAACTCATCCGTGAGGAACTGCAATTCAAGGCCATATGTGGATATCTCTGCTTCTGCTGCCTGAACTGTCCTCGAAGCTTGCATCAAGCTGGTAGCATCCCCATCCGGTCGCCTGTTTCTGCTTTCCTCTCTTGCTCTGGAGATTCTGCGCTGGGCAATTTCGGCCACTTGGGCCATGACCAGCGACAGGAACTGCTGGTGCGCTGCCAAAAGTACGCTGACATCTTCTGCAGGCCAGTCCTCGATGGTGTCCCTGACTCTATCAAGTGCCCATGAAGGATATCCAAGCTCCCCTTCATCTTCCATGTCAAGAAATTCTCGCCACAGGTGCATGGCATTCTCCACCGTGCAGGGCTCAGCATCCGGCCTCGGTCCCGGAGTACTTGCGGAGGCTTGTTCACTTTCATCTTCTACCTCCACCACTTCATTGTCTCCGTCTTCCTCACCCTCTCCTTCACATTCTTCATCCGGCCAGTCTTTCCTGCCACTTGCCGACCATATGGTAAATGGCCTGGCTTTGGGCTTGGCTTTGGCAGCCTTGTTGGATTTCGCCTTGCCCTTACCTTTGGTCCTGGACGGTGGTGACGAGCCTCTCCAATGTTGACCTTTTCTATCTCGATATCTCCGCCTACGCCACCCTTCATCATTGCCACGTTTCAGCCAGCGATCTCGGACAGTGTATGTCCTCCGCCAGGGGGGAATGTCCGAATCCCACGCCATCAGCATCACGTGGTCATCCTCCTTGTCACTTTCCTCCTTGCCAGCAGTCTCTGGGCCGCCTTGCTGGTTCGTCTCCCTGCGCTCACCCAGTCTGGAGGACAGCGGGTCTCCAGAGGCTGAACTGGCATCGCCTTCTCGCACACACTCTTGTCCTTCTCCATGTTCTGTTTCCTTCTCCCAAGGTCCTGCATGCCCATTGCCGTCATTTACCTCGTCAAGCACTGCTCCATCATGGTCCCTGGCATTCACCATGAGTCCTTGACCCTCACCTCGTGCACCGGGCGATCCTCCATGGTGTTGCTCATCTCTGTCATCTCCGGCATCTTCATTTCGCTGAACCTGTTCTCCTTGGCGGCTCTCTTCATGACAACTGCCTTGTTGTGGTTGGGAAGGTCCCTGGCCTGCACCTCGTCCTACAGGTACTCCTTGATCATGTTCATGAGATTCTTCACGGCAACGGTCTTGTTGTGGTTGAGGAAGTTCCCGGCCTTCACATCGCTGCACAGGTACTCCCTGATCATGTTCATGAGCATCAGCCACTTGCCCTACACCTCCAGCTTGCTGCACAAAGTACTCAGGGGCGCTGCTAGCTTCTTGTCCAATCACAACCCCACCTTCGCTTTCACTTCCTTGCCCCAATGGTCCCTGCACATGGGTCGGCG